CTTCACCAGGTGGTTCCTGAGGCCAGGTGTCAGTAGCTTTCATTTCCAGCCTCTCTTCAGCACCATTAACGGTGTCCACAGGTCAACGCCCTAAACCTCAGCAGTTAAGACTCTAGGAGTTCATCCTTAAATAATTCAAGTACTGATTCCTCCTAAGACGTGAGGTCTGAACACAAACAGAATAAATGCTGGCTGTCAACTGCAAGGTGACGTGGCCCCTCTATCCAGGGTGTCTTTAATGACCATGTGCCTGTGGTCATTAGGGTGCAAGGCAGATGCAAGGCCCAGGGTGTAGTAAGGACAGATGGAAGGATAGTAAGTGATGGGGCAGGACTCCTGAGCAGACCAGACAGGAAACCAGGCATTAGCTATGCAATGAGGGACAGAAAACACAGCACACTGGATAAATGAGTACCCTACCCAGTTCCAGCCCCCAAAATGACCACAGCCTCTGCCACAGGTCAGAGGCCAGGGGCTGGCGGGCACCTGCTAAAGGCCAAGTCATCAGTAGTTCTATGTGAGCTCTTCGCTGCAGTGTGGAAGCAGCAGACAGTACAAGAGTGAAGACCATGGTGACATCCAGTGAGGCCACGAAAGAGGCGGCCATCGCCATGGTCTGCCCACGTCGTCCCTCACGACACAGCCAGGGTCTCTGCCGCCAGGCTTCCCCCCGTCCATTGTCACATGCTTTCTAAACTGAAAGGCCGATATTCCACCCTCTGCTTAAACTCTCCATGGCCTTTCACTGCTCTCAGGCTAAAGCCCAAGCTCCCCAGTTTGCCTCTTGCCACTGGCTCTGCCCACACGAGATCTGCTTGTGGCTCTGGGTCTCTGTACACGTGGCTCCTCCTTCTGCCCACCTCTTCCAAGAACATGGGAAGTCTCTGGAGGCTGGACAAGGGAGGGAAAGGATACTCTCCTGAAGCCTTGAGAAGGAGTCAGCCTTGGTCAGGCCCTGATGTTAGCTCTGTGAGCCCATGATGGACTTTGGATATCCATAACTACAAGAGAATAAATACACGGTGCTTGAAACCACCAGTCTGCTGAAATGTTACAACCACAGGAAACAAACTCTGTCATGTAGCCAATATGGGGTTGCCTGTCCCTAACAGGCAAGACAGCTCTAGAACCAGCTCTGTACTCTACATCATGCTGAGAAATAAACTGGACCTGCTATCTATGAGAATGGGAGAAGGAGCACCAAGTCTTCCTATAAAACCTACTCTCTCTCTGAAACTGTTAGCTACCAGAAAAACTCACAGTGCCTGGTCTTTACCAAATGTTAAAAGAATGGTGGTGAGGGCTAGCAGATGGCATAGTGGTTACGTCGCTGGACTGCCACATGATCAACTGCAGTTCAAGTCCTGGAAACTCATACCGGGCATGTGTGCATGTGTGCCCAAGATCCTGGAAGGATAACGGTAGAGAAGGGATTGTGGTGTTGCCATCCCATGTATGGGGTGATTTCTCACTTTCCCTCTCACTGTCTCTGTCTCTTTCTTTCTCTGATGAGCACATGTTCCTTAAGGGAAAAACCTTAAAAAAAAAAAGAAAGAAAGGAAGAAAGAAAGAAAGAAAGAAATGCAGTGGGGAAGGCATCCTCTCAGCACACTGAAGGAAGCGCCATTGCCTCTGTGCCAGGTTTGAAACAGACAAGTTCTGATACCGTTCCTATCCAAGAACTACCAAGCAAATAACCAAACACGAATGCAGAGTCCAGAGGAGACTCACTGCAAAGTCTTTATCAAAGAAACAGTAACTCCAATAAATGCCTACCAGAAAGAGATATGATAAATAAATTATCATAAAATAATAATGAAAAAATAAAACAAATCTCGACACCCTAAGATGTAAAGCACTCCATAAAATACTATAAGTGAAAAAAATACTGTAATACAACATATAGAGAAATCTTCTTAGGGCAAAATAAATACATTTATATATGCATTTTTGATTTGTAAGTGGGATTTGGAAAGTTTTCAATTTTCTACATGTGATTTAAGTTGTATAAGAATGTATTAATAAAAGACTATTTTTTTAATTTCAAAGAAAGAAGTCAAATTTAAAAGATCTGTTAGAACCAAAAATTTATCAAAGTCTTTTCATCTTATTTCTGAGGTGTATCTGCTTTAATCTGAATATAATCGATCAGAGTCCTAGACACCAAGGCATCTCTGAATGACCCATCCTGGAAACCAGAACATGGACTTTCTAATACCTTGAGAACCTAATTCACTACTAAGTTATAGAAAAGAAGCTACTGTTAGAGGGATACAGAGGGAAAATGCAGAGAGAACTTTCACAGCTAGAGTAACTTGATAAACAAGTGCTGAAAAATAGCCTCTACCACCTTCACTGAATTATTATACCTTTCAAAGGTTTCTTATTTTCTGTTTCTCTGGTTCTCCAGTAAGGGCACATGCCTTTAAAACAAACAAACAAAAAACTCTAAAAAGACGACTAAAACTGAAAACAAAATATAAAAAACACAGTGCTTTTTCTGTCTCTCAGCCATGGCACAGTGCCCTGGCTTTAAATTAGGCTATTAACTATAACAGGAAACAAAAATGTTCAGGAAGAGCTCACCTGGTATCTTCCAGCATCACCTGACCAGATTTTTCATCCACCACAATTTTACAGTGATCTCCAGAGACAAGTTTATTGCTAGGGAATGAAAGGTCACAACCTAAAACAGAGGGTGGGTGACACCAGATATTGTCATGAGTAATATTAACACTTACTGCCCTTGGCATTACAAATGCATACGATCTGAAATTCGGATCCACACTATACACACTTAAGGAAACATTTAATCAAGCGAGGTATGAAGAAACATTACAAATATTTGAATACTGGGTCAGTCCGAGGTGTGGTGGCTAAGGAGGCAAGAATCCTGCATGGCCTACTGTGCAGTTTGAGTCCTAAACCCAGCAGCTTGAAAAAAACACGCTGGGCACATGTTATGTGTGCCCCAAACCCTGTAACAGAGAAGAGATGTGGAGCAACTATCCCCCAGGAAAGGGGCTTTTCTTTCTCTCCCTCTCCTTCCTGCTCTCCTGTGGGCTCATGTACCCTCCATCAAAATATTTAGGGAAAAAAGGTAAACTTTGCCATATGTAAATTAAAATTCTATATAAATGGCTTATTAAACATCTGAGTTGCACGAATGTTTTGCATTATGTAAGGCGTTTTGTTACATTTGTCCAAGGTGAAGATCACCTGTAGTCATTGAGTATAACTGCCGGGATGATCTCACAGCGTTGCTCTAGATGTTCTGTCACCAGAGTGGTTTGTATTTATCTACTGGGTCGTTAAAAAAAAGTCATGATAGCCAGCAAATGGCATAATGGCTACATCGCTGGAATCCCATGTAGTCAACCGCGGTTCGAGTCCCGGACCCAGTGGCTTAAACTCACACCAGGCACATGTACGTGTGTGCCCAAGATCCTTGGAGGAGAATGGAGGAGAAGGGACTGCGGCATGGCCATCCCCCCAGGGGGGTGATTTCTCACTTTCTGCCTCTGTCTCTGTCTTTCTGGCGAGCACATGCACACTATAGCAAAAACCTCTCCTCCCCACCAAAAAAAAAAAAGAAAAAGAAAACATATGTTGATGATAATGTGTATGATATCTTCAACTGGACTAGTTTTTTAAAAGTTTTCTGCCATAGGACACATGCACTCACTGGAGAGAGAGAGAGGAACAGAGAGAAAGTGGAAGATCATCCCCCAGTGGGATGGCCGTGCCACAATCCCTTTTCCTCCATTCTCTTGGAATTTTGAGCATGCACACACAAGCACCTGGCCTGATTTTCAAGTCACAGGGTCCAAGACCCAAACTGTGGGCGGACATGTGGGAGTCTAGTGCTTTTTAACACCATGCCACCTGCTGGCTCCTAGAGATTTTTTTTTTTTTTTTTAAGTTTTTGCCATTGGGTGCACGTGTGTCTGTGCCCGCTGGGAAAAAAAAATAAAAGAGAGAGAGAAAAACTAAGAAATCTCCCCTCAGGAGGAATGGTCATGCCACAATCCCCCGTCCTCCACTCTCCTCTCAGGACTTTGGGCACATACACACATGCAATCAGTGTGATTTTCAAGCAATAAGGTCCATGACTCAAACCACAGTAGGCTGTGTGAAAGTCCAGTGCCTTAACCACTACACCACAGTGATTTTTTTTAAAAAAAGAAGTATTTTACCCCACTTTATGTCTTTATTTTAATTTCAACCAGAGAGGGACAGAGAGAGAGAAAGCAAGCCACCAGGTTCGGGACTTGAACCACAGTTGGCCATGTGGGAGTCCAGAGCCCTTAACCATCAT